CTTTTTGGGGTTGTGTCTGAAAGGGCATCTGTGGTAAAACTCCTCCAAATCATGCTGAGCTACCTGCTGTGGTGACTCCTTGTGACAAGGAAAAAGGCAAAAGTAGCTTATTTGTCTCCTCTATTTCTGTAATGCTTTAGATATAATTATTGATGTTTGTGGGCAACTGTGTATGGCACATCTTATATTTTATTTAACAACTTTCCTTTTAATGTACAGCCCTTTGGTTAACTTTTTTGTTTTAAATGTGCTTTATATTTATATATAAAAATGATTGGATTGGATCAAATAAAACATCAATCAACCATATATCAAACCTCAAATACATCAATTAAGAATCCAAAATAGAAAAAAACAACAACAACAAAAATACAGACCAAATCCTGATGACCATGAATCCATAAATGGCAATGACATTATTTTATATTTTCCTCTGCTTACAAAAAAGATATTGCATTATATATTCTTATTGTACTATTATTTTTGTTCCTATATTGAGAGAGCTGCAAGAACACTGATGAATTACTTTCACTTCAACCCTTTCTGACTTTGGTGTCCTATTTAAAGTACAAAAACAAGAATGCATCTGTAATCAAAATACGAAATACATCTCATCTGTTATTTAGAAGTCTGTTGAGTATGATGTGTTCTTTTTTGAGAACATTTCCTTAGAATATTTTTACAACAGATTTGATGTTAGTTTTTAACAAAAATGAAGCAATTTTTAAAAAATAAATCTAACAACAACAAACAAATATATATATAAAAATACATATATACTTTTTAAGAATTAAAAGTAAAGAAGGTGGCCCTGACTGCATTCATTGCAGCCACAGGCACTGCTGTTTCATTCTTTTGGGGGTACTGTTGCCATGGATACAACAACAAACATCCACATAAACTGCAGAGCCGCACTTTCTTACCAACATATCACCCAAGTCTACAAGAGAACAAGGAGTGTGTGAAGTCCGGAAAGGCAAGCTCCTCTTTCAGCTACAAGAGCAACTGTGCATGTTTGCATCCACATGACTGAGAGTTTTGGTTTTGATTTGTTTTTTTTCTGATATTTGTACTTCTGCTATCAAAGATGCCAATTGCATCTGGAGCTGCAGGCAGGGTGGATGTAGGAATTGACACAAGCAAAACATGGACACCACAAGGACCGAAAAGGAAAACAAATTCTACCCACAGAAAAAGCGACTCCTATCTGCAAAGGTGAGATTACTACAGATAGTGATCAAATGTAACTGCATCTTTTTAAATATGCTTGATCAACAACATTTATAGCCTCGTCTGAAGACAAATCACTGGACAAAACTGTGACTATTTCATCATTAGATGAAATTGTGTTATTGTTTAACACAAACTGAACGGCAGTACTTTATAATACAGCAATTTAAGATGTTTTTGCTATGAAATTACAACTGTATTCGTCGTTTGTCTGTCTTACAAATGAATACTCTGCATATACTGCTGGTTTTATTTGTCTGGTTTTATGATGACCAGCTGGCTCATGTTAGAGGCAAGACTGCTCTTAATGGAATAACCATTGCATTAAACTGTGTTGTACTGTAGACCTGCTGGCCTTTATTGCTAGGAGATAAAGGCACCCTAATTTAACTCTGTCCATTTGAATCAACAGCAACCTGTTTGTCATCCGAACTGGGCAGAGGAGACGCAGATGTTTGACACTAATTCCACTCATAAATATTTCACCATCCCGTTTGTTTTTCCAAACAGGGCTACTAAAAGAAGAGACAAAAAGACTTGAAAGCTGTGACACACAGTTAGATCATTTTTTATTTGGACAGTGAGAGTTTTTGTAGTTTTACCTCTGTACCACACCAAAGGACATTTTAATTCAACCAATCAAAACAAAGATTCTTTAATTCAATAGTTAGGATCAATTTAACATTAGCTATTTAGAAATCACAGCCATATTATACATAGCATCCCATTTTCATAGGTTTAAAATGAGTTTGACAAACGAACATAGTTTTCTACATAAAGACTGGTTTTGATACTTGGCTGAAAATCCTTTGCACTCACCGACTGTAAGTCTAGAAACCATGGACATCACCAAATGCTGTATTTCCTCCCTTGAGATGCTCTTTTCTTTTTCTGCAGTCACTTATAGTTGTTGCTTGTTTGTTGGTCTTTCTACCTTCAGCTTTGCATTTTTTATAACCGAAAAGCTGCTCTACTCGGTTCAGATCAGGTAACTGACTTCTTAGCCTTTCTTTGCTTTGAGAAACTCTTGGTTTGCTTTTGCTGTTTGCTTTAGGTAATTGTCCATTTGCACTGTGAAGCACACTCTGATCAGTTTGCAGCATCGTCACATGCTCACCTAACCTATAAACACCAATAACCCAGTTCCACTGGCACATCTCCATAATTTCTGATTATTTTTGTACAAGTTCATCTTGGTTTCCAAAGATTTTATTTTTTCCAGAATTGTGCATTTAGATGTTTCTTGGTTTTCTTAGTCTAACCAGTGGCTGTTGATTGTAGACTTTGACAATATCACACCTACCTCCTCCAGTTTGTTCTTGGCTTGTCTAGATGTTTCAAAGCTGTTTTCATAATAATTCTGTCACTGTGCACTTCAGTTGTCTTCTGTGGTCTTTTAACCCTTTCGGTGTTGCTGAGCTGGCCAGAGGATTTCTTGTTTTTAAGAAACTTTGTACACATCGTCGATTTGGCCATTAAAGGCTTTTTTTCACCTACAACAACATTTCTGTGAACCTTATATTGAGAGTTCCAGTGAAACAAATACAAGTTTAGCACATGGAATCAACTCCAGCTATTTTATCTGCTCTAGTTTTTATAAACAAATTATGGCAACAGACCTTGCAAGATCACAAAACTGCTTTTCAGTTAACTGTCCAGTTACTTTTGGGTGTCTGAAAAGGAAGGACCATGTATAAAAATAGCTGTATATTAACTACATTAAGGGACTTGGTTAACCCCTTGAATGAAAAAAAGAATATTCTTATCTGAATACTTATGGACCAAACTATAAAACACAAAGTCATTCATCTGACTGCAGAGTTTCTTGGCTATGATTTCTACTTTGTCATTAATACTTGCAGGTATCAGGAACTCAAAGCACAACAGAGAAAAGGGGACTCCTTGCAGGTGAGTACTTTGATCAGTCAAAGGCCGACTGGTTTAAAGGTTTTCAGACAGAATTTCATTGATTCAAACTTGTTTTTAAACAGAGCACTCAGGACAAATCAGAACCCAGCGATGACAAAAATGATGGTGAGATCATTGACAGTTTGACAAACAAACAGAAAATATCAGGACACGCAACATTCAAAAAGTCTCCCTAAAACAAATGCTTCTTCAATCTGCTTTAAGGGTCCAAAGAGGAAGTCCCAGAGAAAAATGGAAGCCACAAGGATGAAATTTCAGGAAAACTATCCAGTGAGAAGCCATCTAAAAAGTCTGTCCTGTGCGTTATACTGTGAAGCAGTTACAGCTCATGTTGTCATTAAACGAACTGGACTGTCACGCACAACAACGTTAACGTTCATTATTCAAGTGTCAAACTCGTGTGCTTCTTTTGAAAAGCAGACGAGGTCAAATTTCCCTTTTGAATAACAAATGCTAAGCTGCTGTCAGTTTTGAACTCAAATGTGTTTGTTCCTTCAAGTTGACTGAGAACTAGCACGGTTTGGTAGTTATCGGCGTGAATTCTTTTGCAGTATTACACGGCAACACCTGAATTCGTTTGTACAGTACAACATTTGTACCATGGGCTACATGTAGACAAACAAACAAACCAAAAAAACACAACAAGTAGAACACATTTAAGTCGACAAATTAGACATTCATCAAGCCAGTTTTTTGAACCAGTGGCTCATCTGCAATCACACATTTCACATCAGTAAACACTGTGCTCAGTAGTTTGGGGTCACTTAATGAGTCTTTGTTTCTGAGACAAAAAAAAAAGATGCGTGTTTTCATCTAATACGAAATGTTGATGAAAAGGTTGTAGAATCAGGAGAATTTAAAATCATAACTTATGATTGCAGCAATGTTGTTGATGTATTACAAACACACTGCTACCTACCACAAATGTATCAAATTTATCATGTTAGCAAAGCTGAAAACTGTTGCACCCTTTAAAGAAGCAGTTAAGTTGGTTTATTGAGTGCATGAAGCTTTGTTGCATTATAGTTTTTAAAATCCTAAAGTTGTTTTACTGGAAGTGTTTGAGACTATGATCAAACCGACAGGTGCTGTTGCTCCATACACTTAATGCTTCTGTAATCAGTGGGGGGAAAACAATCAGTCAGCCTTTTCATATGTTGAACTTGCATTATTTAAATCAATGTGCCACTGGAACACTGCAGTAATCATTGCTGAAAAAAAAGTCTCTGTATTTTCTAAAAAATAAAAAATATAGAACATGCTGTGTGACCCCAAACTCTTTTTTTAAAGCAGCAATAAACACAGGGAGCTTGCCTTTTTCAGTTCCTCATAATGTTCAATATTGCACTTGTGTTATCTATGAATCACTGAGACTTCCCTCTCTTTAGCTGTACCTAAGTTTTCACAGTTTTTAAAATCTACTGTTGTGCATTCCCAGTCAGTTACAGCCAGAGAGAAAACACTGGAGGGCCACTGCATTTTTTTTTTCCAGTAGATATTCTCCAACACAAGACAAGGCCTTCGTTTGACTGAGGATCTCAGTCGCTGTTGCTGCTGCTGTCATCTCTCACCACCATGTTGCTGTACTTCTTCTGCTGCTGCTCTTTGAATGTCTCCTTCACCTTTGCCCTCTTGAGGCCTCCATCCCTGCATGCAGACAGAACTAAACGATTATTCAGTGTCATACGTTCCCCTATGGCCAGGTCATAAAAAAAAGAGGTGACTGACACTTGATTAGCATTCAGACAAAGGACTACATCTTTCTCTGTTATTCTTGTCTGTGAAATCATTAAATTAGAATCACTTTAAAAGGGATGAGGTAAGAGCTTACCATTGCAGATCTACCAGCCCTCCCTGGTGAGCGATGGCTGACTTCACTCTGTTGGCAAACTGGACAGCATCTTCACCCTCCTGACATTTTTTTGGGGAAAAAACTCAGTCCGTTTTGATGCATCACTCGTGTTGCGTGAATCAGTTTATTGTCACAAATAAAAGCAGTTTTATTATAAAGACTAAAGACCAACAGTCAATTTAAGCAAGCTAGGCAAGTTGAAGTCTCAAGAAAACAAATGTGATCCGAGTTAAAGTCCTCCTAAGTCTATACAGATATGTACATAGACTTCATTCATCACATGTTACACACACCTGTTGGTGCATGGCTGGCATGTACCAGACATTGCATACAAGGGCCCAGCTGGTCATCATCCTCAGCAGGTAACTGACCATGCTGTGCTTGGAACTGTTCCAGAAAGCATCTCCAAACTTTGGGTCATACTAGGAAAAGTTTAAAAAGCACAGAGACAAGCATTAAGTAGCAGAAATGTGTGACCTAAAGGGCTCAAATATATATGACTGAGAGATGAAGGATGAATGCTAGACTGGGCTGAAGTACCTTAATGGCGACTGGGTATATTGTTGTTCCAATTTCAAAACTTCCCTTTTTAAACATCATGACAGATGTGTTGTTAATACAAGTTCCTATAGAAACAGGAGATTAAAGAGACAGCTGTGTGAGCTTCTTCCAAACTCACTCAGGCTTTTCTTTGATGATACAAAGATAGAACTGCAGTGGATAAAGTAACTTTTATCTTTCTACTTGGTGACGCTTACCCTCTGGAAATATCAATATAGGAAGCTTTTTTTTGTCGTTCACATGGTCTTTCAACCTGGAAACAACAGAACAGGTAATGGAAACCATTTATAAATACACACAATAAAAAATACATTCAACAATTAGAATGAGTGCCTTATTGAGAAGGGATTAAAGTAAAGAGACTGGAATCTAAACTGCAGTGAATCCAGCATCAGCGTTCCAAAACATACTTGTTCTTGTTTTGACGATAATAAGTTTCTACTTCCAAGCAAAAGACCAGAAAGAAACGTTGTAGTGAGGGAGTGAAATATGAACCTTTTGGTCACTAGATGGCGATCTTTCATCTCTGACCTCTCAAACCAGACGTGAGGACAGGATCTCACCATGGCTCTCTGAATAATTCCCATCAGGCCTCCATGGACCTGACCCACCTAAGAAACACATAATGTAAAGAAATTGTTTTACAACCAATCAGTTTCTAAAAAAACACTTTATATGTAAAACTCCAAATAAATTGATTTGAGGGGGGCTTCTTTGCATACCATAGCATAGCAGCCATCTGTGCACAGAATCACAATGTCGATTGGAGAAGTATGATTGGCAACACAGATTCCTCCTTTTTGGGGTTTATTTTCCCTGCGGAGGAAATGACAACACTGAACTCAAAGACAAAGGGTAAAACCAGTCTTTTTTAAGGATGTGGTACATAACAGGAAAGCATTTGTACCTGTTGTGATAGCGAATCGTGGCAGAGAGTCCTCGAGCACAGATTCTGTAGCACATCACGTGGACCAACTCACTGAGCCAGAACTTTATCCTAAAAATAAATATTTACAAGGGAAAAAAATGACACACTGTTGAGAAAAGATTTCCATTATACTACTTTTTCTAATGTATAAGATTAAAAAAAACATGTTTTTAGTCACCTCCAGTTTGGAAGCAATCCAACTGCAGATGTTCCTATTACCAACCAGCTAACACCGATGATGGTCAACGTTATTCTGGAGACACATAGTGACACATTTCACCTTCAAGCAGCAGGTCAGTTGGAGTTTAGAGTTTTCATTGAAACTTAACAGAAATATAAATTACTGCAAGTTATGTAAAAAATTAATTTAAATTGCATAATTTTATTGCACATTTTTATTGCACATTTTTATGGCATTAACTTCTTCCTCTCATACAGCTTGCAATTTTTTCAGTAGGTTTTAACTCAGTTGAGATATATTTTTAACACAACCAAAGGCATAGTGAGTCTTGACTCTGTCTTCCACATTGCTTCTCTGACAGGACAGAGTAAATTTGGGGCGGGTGGACTCTGTGCAGTATTTTTCTACCTGAGGGGGGCAAGGATGCAGTATCTCACAATGATGCCAAGGCCATAGACCAGCGTCAGCTTCAGACTTATGTACTGGAAATCATTGTTGGTGCGAGTCAGTAAGTTCCAGGACATCAGCTCCTCAGAAGTGAACCGCTGGGTCACCTGATTTTAAAAAAGAAAGTTGACAAACACAACTAAAACATTTTCATTTTAAAATTAAAACCAAAGTTTGCAGATGTGTTAATAAAAAAAAAAATGTACCTCATCATCTACAATACTCTCAATCCCTTGTCGGGTGAAATAGAAACAGTCACTTAGTGTAAAATCACCACCCACTGGTGGTTTTGGGCGACTTCGTCGAAGTTCCTCGAGCTCCTTCTCCATTGATCCATTTTCCCTTTGAATGAGACCTGACACACATACAAACACACACACAATGATGCAATTAAACTAGCTGACATGATTTGTTATATTAGTAACAATCACATAGATAAGTCAGCCTTGGCAAATGTCTTAAGGCAATGTTAGTGTTAGAAGATTAAAGAATGTGTCAGGGAGTTCAATCGGGAATGTTGTTCCTGGAAAAGCATTATGTGCTGCACTTTGGCAAAACGCATTTAAAAAAACAACAACAAAACATGAAGACTGAAGCCATTCAGAGCATGAACTCAAGATAAAATTCTTTAAAAAGAACAGAACTGAATCTGCAGCACCTCAGTGTCATATGGCACAACAGGCAGGCATATAATACTTTTAGTGATAAGATACTGTATCTGGAGTTCTCATCATAGGAGAGACTTTACAAGAAGGAGCAACTCAATTTATGAAATGTGTCGCCTAAAACATGTCCTCACACGTTCTTACTTGTTTTTGCTTGCAGCCTTTATTAATAATGGTCATACTGAACAGACTGCAAGGCAAACAGGTCTGAGAACAGTTTAAAAACAGCCTCAGCTTGGATTCCACATTACCTCATATCTCAGCAGACAAAGTCCAGAACCTACACTAACACACGCCGTATTCACTCAAAACATTAAGTACAATGTCTGCCCTGTTTCTGTTCTTCAGGCACTTTTACTTCTTGCACTCATTGCTCATGTTAAAAATGCTCGGCTCACACACTTTGAACTTTGGAGAGAGCAATTTCTGCTGACCAAACTGTCTTTCTGTGCTCCAGCATTTGAAACCATCCTGTGAAGCTTGGAGATTGATAAAGAGTTGATTTATTGCATCTTGTGAGATAAGACAAGGTTCCCAGAGCAACTTTACTTATTACCTATCATAAAAGTTACTGAGCCTCAGCGCCACAAAGAGACTTTTTGGTGAAAAATTAGCTTTAGTATGGTAGAAAATATGAACATTTTTCCTTAAGACAGAGCAAGTTTTGCTCCGTGAGTATTTTATATGCATGCATTTTAAAAAAAGGCCACTTTAAAAGGTAAATCAGTCTATTTTTTAAAATGTGGCCATATCATTGCAACATGCCAGCACAGACTTATGATGAAGTATCTGATGAAATCTCATATTGCAGCAGACGCAAAGCTTTCCTTAAACCAAAGTTTCACAATAAGGTGTATGACATCAACTTATCTGTAAAAGAGTGCCCCTGCCTGATTTTCTTTAGATCTATCAATCAAATTTCTTTCTACTTACCATTAGATGAGGAGGGTTTGAGTGTTCCTTCATCTGAATTTGCTTTCTGTATATTCAGAGTGGCCCACTGTGGAAACAGACAGCATATATTAATGGCCAAGAATCAAAATATATCCACTGCTTAAAGCATATTAACCTATGAGGGACATAAAAATTACGTGTGTTAGTACCTCCAAGGTTTTCACCAGTATGGTCATGTAGATCTCGGAAATGCCCAGTGAGAATCCAAACATGGATGGGATCATGATGAGGATGATTATGAGGTACAGCCAAATCTTCAGTGACCAAAGGGCTCCCGCCCAGAAATCGTCCATCTCTACTTTATTCCCTGAGTTAAACAAGAGCAGCCCTGTGGCTCAGCTGCATGAGAACAAAAGGGGGAAAGAAAGACTTCACTTTCATTTCTTTACTTCTTAGACAACGTGGAAACATGAAATCATAACAAGGGGAGTGAAAAAGACAAACGAAACGCTGAAACACTCCGGGTCACACTACACGGTACAGGTACACACTGATCCCACGTACAAAAACAATGGCGATCAATAGCACATGTAATCCTTCCAATATAAACAAATTCACAAACACTGACAGAGCTCCTCTATACTTTAACTACACAGCTACATTTATCCTGTTTCAGATTGTACGAGATCAACTTACCTGTCAAACTTTAGTCCATTTCCTTTCCTACAGCCGGTAATTTAAGAGACTGAACACACACAGAACAAACACGCCCATTTACTAACTAGAACAAAGTTCATGACCTACAGCGCCTTCCTGTGGACATCTTTGGACACTATCAAAAAGACTTCCATGAGGTCTACAGGTTTGATTCATAAAAAGTTTTATATTTTAGTCCATAGGAAGACACTTTAGTCAAACATAGACCAAACTAACTAGTTACTATACAAGTTGACCCTGCTAGGATCGCATTTGAAAATACTTTTTGGAGACGTGTTATTTTTGGATGAGTCTGAGCCAGAGGAAGCACTCAAAGCAAACGCCACTAAGGTTGAGTTAAAGTATGTAGATGGAAGCTGCTTCTTATAATACTGAACCTGTATTTACTGATCGTATCAAATTTTTTTAATTTTAAGAAGAAAAGCATTGTTAAAAATGTAAAAACAAAAACAAAAACAAAAAAAACCCACTGTTTGAAAACCAAAAGTTGCTCTTTCATATTTGCCAAGCCTCCGTATATATCAGGCATCCAGGTTGTTTAAAGCTGACATAATTGACTGAAGCGTGAAGAGAATCAGTAATATTAATAAAATGCCTCAGACAACTCACCAGAACACAGGAAAGCCTTAATGAGGAATGTGGCAACAGTGTCTGTGTGGCAGAGCCTCCCTCTCTGACCTAAAACTAACAAAAGGTCCTGATTATTTTCTAGGTTCAGACATTTCACAGTCTGTTGCTCATTACTGTAACAGGGGACTTAAGGGGGGCGGTTTGGGTAACGTCTCTGGGAATGATAAGAGGTTCACTTCATCCTTCTCTGAATGGCGTTCAGTTCATTACGAGAGCTTTCTGCACTACAGCGTTGAAGCTTCGTAAAGATGAATTTTCAAAAGACAGCTGGCTACAGAGAGACGCACAGATATTGTGCCATACAGTCTTTAGATTCATTGCAAAATTTTTGGACCTTTTAAACATTTTAAATCTTTGATTGATTACACTGTTTATTGTTAATAAATCAAACAAACTGCTCAGGCTTGAGACTCCAGATGTGTAGTGAAACTCCTGTCAACAACACATTGTTTGCCCTTTATTGGGTGTGTTCGTTTCAGTAAGGCAGTGCCTGTTAGCATGAACGAGCTCATTTTTATTGTAAGTCTCAACACAGACAGCTCACCTCGTGTTTCAAGTTGGTTTTACTGGGTCCTGTTATTGGACCTCCCCAGTGGCGCCCATTAGTGCTGCTGTTGTTGTTGTTGGTTTTTGGTAGAAGAAGAGGAAGGTTCCATATATTCTGTATGGAACTGTGTGCTATCTATTGTTTGAAAAGTCTTATTTCAAGACCTAAGTTTTCCAAGAGTATCTCCTTTCAGTTCTAATATATACTTGATGGAGATGGAAAAAATCTATGCATTAATTATTTAAAGTCACTCCCCTATAAAACAGCTAGAAGATAAGTTGGTGGTAGGTCCACAAGTCTTCTCTTGTGCTTTAGATAGATAAATGAAAAAGATAACACTGATAAAATCAGATGAGTTCACTTTGTCTCCCTCTGTGTCTCCTATGTACAAAGGCAACCCGGGTGGCAATGTGTCATGTCTCAGTAATCTTTTAGTCACACATAAGTCTCCACCAGGGATAAATAGTAGACACCACACAAGTACGTGGTAAGAACTGTGGCTTTAAGGCTCTCTTTAAGAGGATATATCCAAAGTTCTTAAAGAAACCTCATATCTTTTAAGCGTCAGAAAAGCTAAAGGTGCAAAAAATGTATCTGAGGATAATTTCCTTGAATTCAGTACATCCTGCACACAGGACATCAATGACTAAAAACTTAAAAAGAATACAGCTGAAAGCCAAGCAGTTCAAAGAACACTGTTGCCATTGCAACTGGATCTAATCGTGATGAAGGTTAAAAGTATCCGTCCATCCAGACCCTAGTGTAGATGAATCACTGCAAAGAAATTTCACCTCTAAAAGAGCGTCTGAATGTGCCTTCCTTCTATGGAAAGCTTTTGAACGAGTGAATGAGATGAGTCGCCCCCTGCTGGCTATGAGAAAAAAATGCAAGTTTTAGACAACCCCGGATTGCCCACTTCCTTTTTTATATAGGTTAGTCTCTGGATGTTTAAGAGTGGGCAAAATAAAGACCAGAGCATTAAATAATCTAGCATTCATTCATTCAGTAAAACAAGCCGGCTCATTTAAATATATTTTCCACACTGCTTGACAGTGGAGCGATCCCGCTCATGGCGCCGATTGGTTAATCGTTCATCTTTCACCACGCCCACTCACGGCCACTTATTTTTTTTAATAATTAAGAAACCAACGTTTCACATAACATTATCACGTCATTCAACCTAGTGAGGTGGACAGTTGGTTGAAAGGGCCAAGGCCAACAGATATGCCTATAAATAGAAACTAATGGGTAACTATACTGAGCTAATTCATTTTTACAATCTTCAAAGCACAGCACGGTATTCCTCCATTGTTAGCAGGGCTTTGATTTTTGAACGACAGGTATTTAGTCTTATCATAGAGCCAATATTATTCCCATAAAACGGGATGATGGACTTCGTGCGTGCACGTTTGCACATCTTTGCAAAGCTGTAGAAAGCTCTGCAAACTTTTAACCCCCATGCACTAGTGATTATGCTACTGGTAAAGGCTGACTGTAGCGTAGACAAATGCAAACAACAGTTTTGGTTGCTAGAGCTGCTGGATTTAAACTGATACAAGCAACAGTCCATTAATTTTATTTGCGCGTCGAGTCGCATTAATGATGCGCCATCTGCGGCGCAGGAGACAAGTCTCGACACAGGGCGAACCGGGCTACTCTCTGAAGCTTGCTCTTCTGCGGTAGCTTCTTGTTCTGCTCCCTCTGCTCCCCCTCACTCCTGCAAGGAAAAAAGACACTGGTCCAAAGAACACTCCTCCCCTCCTTCCTCCACAGAGACATTGCTTTCTCCCTCTTTAAACCATGATCTGGCTCCCAGCTTTCCTCGGCGCATGTTTCCCCTCTGAGCTTGCTCGTGTCATGACACAGTGCAGCGAAGGGTCGCAGTGGTCCCTTCTAACGCCACGGGAACCCCAAAGACGTGGACTCTTTTCCAGTGCTTTGAGTTTGGTTACATGAAATATGCCATGTTCGCAGGACTGCACGGTTCTTTTCCTGCTGCACTTTGTTTTGAGTTTGGCAGCTGGCCACGAAGGGCTCTCAGCCTCTGGCAGTCTCCTCTCCTTCTTTGCAGAACAAGGTCAGTGAGTGTGCTGTTGTGCAATTCTGTGCATGGCCCGACTAAGTGCATAACTAGAAGAATTTGTATCGTTAAGTGCACATCACAGTCAGTATGCACTAAAGGTAAAAGGTCTGTATAACCTGTGTTTAAACTCTGTTTTGTAGGTCAGTTGTCAGAGTCAGAACTGTCCATTGTCCACCCAGTGAAAACCGGCGCAGATGGAGGATTCATCTCCCACTCTTTGTCTCACCACTTTAATGGTGGGAGAATCAGGCGAGACTTGCAGTCCCATTCTCAAGAGAAACAGGTTTACTACAAGGTCATCTTCCAGGGAAAAACCTTAATGTTCAATTTGACTGCAAACAATCACCTGGTTTCAAATGACTACATCCTGGAGAGCAGGAATGGCAGTGCCAACAGGACTGAGCATCGTCTTTCTGATGGAAATTCTTGCCACCTTCTTGGCACCGTGGAAGCGTCTGACGTGCGAGGAACTGCTGCCATCAGCACCTGCAGTGGGCTGGTAAGGTGTCACAGTGTTTTATAGCTGTAAAGGTAATTTTATTCTCACTCTCATTCATCAAATTGAGCTGGTGGATGCTTGTGTTTAAATCAACATGCTTTTATCGTGTTTTTTTTTTTAAATTACACCAGATAGCAGCTATCACTATGGGTATACTGGTATGCGGTTTAGGCAACTCCTCCATCTGACAGTGCCCTGTCTGTTAGTTTGCTCTTCAGAGACTTCCCGACACTGTTTGCTGACTGTGCTGCAGACCTTCTGACGACTGCTGCTTCTCAGACTGACATGAGACCCTTTCCGTCCTCTTTGTGGTTCAGATTTTTTCGTCTTCTTTCACCCTCACTCACTCATTCAGAAATTTGCATTCATGGATTATCTGTTCCTTTAGAGACACTTTGCAAACGCCAACAGGATGTGAGAAAGTTTCAGTAATAGATCTTGGCACATTCTTGTGCGTGAGTGGAGCAGTAAAGTTTGACAGATGGACAGATTTTTTTTTTTTAACTTGGGCTATAGTGTTTCTGTTCAAATAAGCAGTTTAACTACAAAACAGAGAGGACACCTGGAAAAAAAAATCAGAGTGATCCAATATATGAAAAAATATTTTTTTAAATATGACGTGAACAATTTGTGGTTCACTGATTTCTGAGAATTTTTAAGTTGTAATCCATCTATTCAGCACACAATCTTATTTCAAAATGCACTCTGGGGTTTTCGTTTACACAATATCACAACATTTTGAAATGGCTAAAAAGTAAGAGTATGTAGAAGAGGATGAACTTCCTGCCTTTGAAATGATAGGATGTGTCACTTTTAGTCACAAAGAATGTTTCAGTGTTCATGTTTGATTGTGTCACAGCAGGAATTCCACTCCTGCAGGGTCTTGCCTCCTGCCTCTGTGCTATGTGTGTGTGTGGGTTTCCCTGCATGTTTACACAGTTCATTTGTAACATGTGACTCAGGACGAGACCAGAATGACAGCCAACCTAGCAACATAATTTATATCTGACCCATTTCACAGCCGCTCATATAATCCTAGAAGGAAAAATGTGTTGCGTCACTCAAAAATCCACATATCTGCAGCCTAATGGCGTTCTGGGGATTTTCCTGCAACACAGAATTCCCCAGTTAGTCCCTTCACTCCAACCTACAAGGGAAACTGCTCTGATTTATTACACAGACTTTCTGTTCTGTGAAAGAAGGTTTATAGCTGCTAAACCCAAACAGAGACCACTAAACAGCTAGACTCAGCCAGACAGATGTGGGAGTGAAGCCCTACCAGCTGCTGCAGAGATTATTCACCCTCACGACAC